TTGCCCATGAGTCTGTCACCTCCGAGGTCTGTCCTATCCATATTATCAACGAGCTGACGAGCTCTCTTTGGAACCTGTGATTGAATATTCTCCAGTTAAAATTCAACGTTTTTGTCTGATTAATATATATATATATATATATATATATATTCATCCCACTAACTCCGTGGCGTCCATACATTGCCGATTTGCTATCTTGCAAGCGTCCGACTTCAACCGAGCGTCCGTATACGGACGCCCGGTTGATTTCCCATAGATTTTGTATCCAAAGTGTGTTTAGAATCGTCCATTAAAATTTTGTACGGGCGCCCGGATAATACCACAACCTGCTTTTTTATACAGTAGTGGTATATTATAAGTTGAACGCTTTCGCCTATAGAGGCGCGTGATACGACTGTTGAATATTTTGGCAAGTATATTATACTTTTAACCTGTCGATTTCTAAGCGTCCACCCTAAATTTCAAATATTGACAACACAGCATTCCATTTAATTCTATTTTTAGGTTTCTTTCCGACCACCTGCTAATAACCGACTGGCATTATTTGTTCTGCATTCGTTTTTAAGATTTGATTGTGGGTATATTATACTTTTAGCCTATCGATTTCCAAGCGTCCATCCTAAACTCGCTGTGTCTTATGATGCAGTGTTCCATTTAGTTCTATTTCCTATTTCGGGTTTCCTTTCGAACATGTGCTAATTAATTGTTTCTCAATCGGTTTCAAGGTTTTATTGTGGGTAAGTATGAAAATATTTATTTATTGTATATGTAATTAATATTAGTGAAATTCCTAACAAATATTCTCAATATTTATGTTACTTTTCTGGGATTAACATTCAGATAATGAAACTAACCTCATTTTGTTGGAACGTTTTGCCGTTTCGCGGCAGATTTTTCAGCTATAAAATTTAATATATTTTCTTACGGTTTAGAAACAATTTACAAAAATAAAACACAAACGTTCTAAAGACCTCAATATACACTTATACTTTAATATATTTATTTATATTGTAAATAATCATATGATTAAATATTAAAAAAGTGTTTTCTAACCGGCTATTTATACATGTCATTACGCAGGCCTAAGGCCTAAACACCGTGGGTGCCGTGAGACTACAGTGGAAAGGGGAAACGTCACACGTACTCTAATGAGGGAGCATGCGTACACATTCAGGCCCCACCTAAGAGAACCGAGGGTGGTGCCTCAACGACGACGATCAATGACCGTCTACCACCTATCAAGATCAGAAGAGTCCACTTGTATTTTAGCTTTCTTCAGCATCAACTTAATCTTGCCTTCCTCGCAGATCATTTCCTCTTTTTATCTGGGAAAAGTTCGAATCCATCATGGCGTGTATCTGAATCTGGTGCTTCGCCCTCTGCTGGACAAGTACCTTTTTTTCACAGCATTCTCGTGGGTGTTCACATTCTTTCTCAACAATTTCTATTATCTCAGAGGTTCCAATTATAACCTCTGGTGTGTTCTTATTTGTCTTAGTGGCTACCTCAACATTATGCTTCGTCCAATTCGTCATAGTATTTATATCTTGAGGAAATAGTGTACAAAGGAGAGATATACCTGTTAAAGTGACAACTGAAACTATGATTGTCACAATGCTAAAGGTTCCGTGTATATTTTCTTGAATCGTTTTTTCTTTGACTTTCTTGCTAGTGAGACATTGCCGTTTGGGTCTACGGCCTAAGCGGTACCTTCAGGTATAGTTATGAAGGGTTTTCAACATCAATGGCCCTGTTTTTGACACTTGATCCATGGAGCTTGTCAGTGTCGGGGAGCTTTGCGAGGCTTCATGGCGGGCACTGTCGGTTTCCTCAATAGCACTCTTAATGTGTTCGAACTAACATCCGAACCACTTTAGTTGATGATTGGTAAACTCATAATAACTTTAAAATGGATAAATACAGAGAATTTTTCAGTACTTTGAAGATATTCACTTTGACATTGACAGTACCAATTCATTCTTGGTTTATTCAGTAAAGGATAGGAAGTCAATAATTAATTTTCTGGGTATGTCATTAATTAGACTGAAAAATGTTTCTAACATTAAAACAAAATGCTGCACGAAAGCTAATTGATCATCAGGATACTAAATTTCACTTCTCAGGTATTAAAAAGTGTAATGCTCGGTCTTATTGATCACATACATCCCCAATTATAAATATTTTTTCGACCGATTGAGCGATATTTAGAAGTCGTGCCGTCAGTTTGAATGCAATGTTTCATAATGTCTCCTTAAAAATATGCTAATGGAAGATAAATACTATAGAATACTATAGAACTGGCCAAACAGAGATTAAAAACTTTTTTGAATAAAGAAAATCCCAATCAAATAACAACGTGTCAAACTACTCTTCCAATTTTATTGATTCTAGCTGTATTCATTGCTTTGGTAATTTCAGATAATATGGACAGAAAAACAAAAATTATGTTGAATGCACTCAATATAAAGGACAGGAGTTGCATTGATTTCCTGAAAGTTCCTAAATATGAACGACTTGGAACCACCCAGAACGAACAAGATTTGTGCATTCAAAGTAAGTTCTGAATAAGTTTTTTCATAAATAAAACCGAGTTATTGTAAGTAGCCGTTGACTGTACAGGGTTACTGATTAGAAATTGTGCACGTCTCTTTTTTCATTGTTTGAAATACAAATTTACATTTTTTACCAATTGCAAGGAAAATAGCGTATTTTTATAAAAATAGCGGACATATAACAAGGTTTCGCAAGAAACTGGGATACAACTATGTTAGGTTTTTTTTGTTTGATTTCGTGACAGATTTTACATACTTTTTGGAACATACTGTTGGTCTATTTGAATTCTTTTTGAATTAAGGGCATTTGAAAGGTGATATTTCTGGGCACTTTGAATCCTCACAACGCCTGAACAGTTTGGCTTCGAGCAGAATAACATCCGCTCTAGTTTTTGATAAGCTTTCACCTATAATAATGAGTGAAACAAAAGTAATGATACATACTTCGTTTTATGGCATTTTTATTTTGCTCTAACAATAAGATTGAGGGGTTATGAGGATTTAGAGTACCAAAACTGTTATTTATCAAATGTCGATGATTTAAAAACAATTCAAGATAGACCTGCGGTATGCTTAATGATAAATATTTCAAATTCCTCACATAATCCAAACATTGTGTAATATATAGGCAGTTCCATTGAAAAAATTATTACGGCTTTTTGGGGAATTCTGTATAACACTTTTTCTATCTTTACAAAAATACATTGTTTACTTTTAAAAACTACGGTACATAATTTACTTCTGTGTCTCAAGAAATTTTAGTGAGGTCAAATTATTCATTGACATTCAAGTTTGGAAAATAACTGGAAGTAGTAATTTATGAATTATTTGCGAAACTTTGATTTAATCAATAGCCCTAGAACTCTTTAATTGAAAAGCAAATTTTGTAAAATTGTTGATTAAAATTATATTAAAGAATGAACAGATATATTAAAGAATGAACAAATTGTTTTGGGCAAATAGATAAAGTCACTAAAACTTGGTTCAAGCAATACTTTTGGCTGCAGAAATATCTTGGATAGCCACTGCATTGTCGGTACTGAAAAGACTTAATTTAAAAAAAATATAACATTAAACATGTTACTTCACAGGATCCCAAGAACTATTTGGGAACGTAACAAGTCAAACAAGAACACCTGCTATAAAAATTCAATACTCCAGCATATCCTCCACCGAAAAGGTGTATAACACAAGACTACAGAAGGTTAAAAAAAATCTCTTTGAAGAAGAAATACCTATAAGTCCGCAAGAACACTTTAGAAACCTCCAGTCTGGTGGAATATCACCTACAATTGATGTAGTATCTACTAGTGATGAACATTTTGATGCTCATGGTAGTAGTAGTAGTGAGCATGCTTCAGAAGAAAATGAAGCTTATAGTAGTGGTACTGAATACATTCCAGATACTCCCTCGGTTTCATCAGATTCTGGGAGCGAACCTGGCAACAGTTTTATCCAAAAAGACGACCATTTATGTAATAAACAGGTATATTGTGATGCCAGTTAATTATAAATCTTACAACCCCGTAAGTCACAAATAATATTGATACACCAGGTGCTTTAGAATACTATCTGAAATGAACAAAATATAATTTATAAAGAGCGGTTTTTGTGAGAGGAGCTTAATGCAACATGCCCTGCTACAATTTTGAGTATATTATAGAGAGATCGAAATTTTCATATGTTTGGCGCTATGATCGTTGTTTTGTCCAATAAAATGTGAGTTTTGAAGGTTAAAAAAAGCTATAATAAATGTTTTGTTTCCAGGAAGAAATATCTGATCCATATACTGAAAAAGTTACATTTTCGGGCCGCACTGTTGAACCAATTCTGCCATCAGAAGAAAACCCTTCCAATAATTTTGGGATATATAAACAGGATGGTGAAATGCGCAAGGGAAAGAAAAAGACAGATTTCTGTTTCTTTTGCGAGACTCCAGTGTTAAATTTTGCCAGACATATAACACGCAACCACCCATCAGAAATCGAAGTCCAAGAAATTCTGCTACATCCAACTCGTAGTATAGTAAGAAAACAGCTCTTGGACCGTTTAAGAAAAAAGGGAAACTATATAAATAGTAGTGTCGCGTGTAAGCCAGTCCAAAGTTTGCGCTCAGCAAAAGATCTTTTGCCTTGCGATAATTGCCTTGGTTTTTACTCTAGAAAATTGTTATGGAGGCACAAAATTAAATGTACTGGATCAAAGAGCACACGTGCTCAGGTGTCTGCCCAAAATTTATTGGTATCTAGCTTGAGAATTGATCTAAATTTGAAAAAGACGGTTTTTCCCAGGATGAGAGCGGATGAAATATCTCTCGTTGCAAAAAGAGATCCACTTATTTGTGCTTATGGAGCAAGGTACATGAAAATTCACCGAGAAAAGCATTTCATCAACGTAACATCTAGGAAAATGTGAGAAATTGCTCGATTTTTAATCGAAATAGAAAAAATGGAGCCAAATATTCATTGTCTCTTTGATGCTCTGAAACCTAAATATTTTGATACAATTGTTGCTGCAACAAAAGCAGTGGCAAAATATGACGTAGAAAAGGATAAATTTGAATCACCAACCTACGCTATGAATATGGGCACGAATCTGAAGCAATGTGCGGAGATAGCTATTATATTTGCTCTGAAAAGGAAACAAATCGCCTTAACAGTTTCATCTGCTGAAGCAGAGGCAGATTTAAAAACTTTGATAAAAGTCATTGAGTCACAATGGCAATATGAGATTTCTAGCCAGGCCGCCAGTGATATAAATATTAACAAGTGGAATAAAGTTACCCTAGTGCCACTTGCCAGTGACTTAAAACTGTTAAAGGAATTTTTGATAACGACGGCAAATTCTGCCGCAACTGCACTTCAGAACGACGGCGACGGGGACGTTAGCCAATACGTACTTCTTTTGGAGTCTATATTCTGCCGTGTGATTTTACTTAACCGAAGACGTCCAGGTGAACTGCAAAGACTGACACTGGATAATTATCAAATATTGGAGAAAAGCGATTCCAGCTCAAATTATGAAGAGTTCTCCGAGGTTGTTTCTCCAACTGAACAAATTCTACTCAAAAGATTTAAAAGGATAGTAATAAGAGGTAAAAGGGGACGAGGAGTACCGGTTCTTTTTAGTCCCGACATTCAAGGACACATAAATATTTTAATTAAAATACGCAACAAATTTGTTAGTGAAAAAACCCATTCCTATTCGGTAATGCTAAATCAAATGAACCTATATGTGGTTATAAGGTTCTGAAGAAATTCGCACTGGCATCTGGGGCAAAGAACCCATCAGCTATTACAGCAACTAGACTCCGGAAGCATTTGGCTACTCTCACACAATTATTTGATATGTCTGAGAATGATTTGGAGCAGCTGGCTAGTTTTATGGGACATACCATTGGCGTACATCGGGAAAACTATCGTTTACCAAATGATGTATACCAAACAGCCAAGATTTCAAAACTTCTGCTTTTAATGGAAAAAGGACAAGCTGCTCAGTTTAAAGGAAAAGCCCTGAATGATATTAATTTAAATTTGGAAGAAGACTTGATGCTTGCTAACGAAGAACAAAGCGAACGTTGTGAATCGCCATCTTTGCATTCCGACGTTCCAGAACCGTACAGTTCAAAAATTCCAGAGAAGAAAAATGAATATCTTCCTAAGAAAAATAAACGAGTACTCATTAAGTGGACCGATGAACAGAAAAAAATTGTTTTAAATTTTTTTGCAAATCATATAAAAAACAGAAAACCACCGAAACGAAATGAATGCGAGGAATTGAAAAGGCTCCATACCGAAATATTCTCGAATAAAGATTGGCCGAAAATTAAAGTATTCGTCCAAAACCAGTATCATAAATATAATAACAAATGAAGGAATTTTGTTTTACTTTTCAATGGTTCCTATGAGGACAGATTCTGATTTTATTTTGTAAGTGTTGTATAACTATTTTCTACACCTTACTTTTGCCTGTTCTTATTTAAGAATAATAAAGTGTATTCTATGTAACAAGGTATTTTTCTACATCCAGCATTTTCATTCATAAAAACTTAATGCACTACCCCTTGTATAATGTAATTTGTAAAACTTATCATGTGGTTATATCTGTTATTCATTTCGCTTTGCCTGGCTTCATACTAAAAGCACATGTAACGTCGTAGGAAATATAGGAAAAAATGAAACACAGTGTGTCCCCAGAAAAAAAACTTTATTCTTCTTTTGATCCATTTTATTGTCAAAATTAGCTTTCAAAAAGCATATAATTTTATTTTGATAACCGCCATGTGATAAAACTCCAAACGCCATCTACTGGTAAGACATTTTCTGATTCTTTATTAACAACTTTTTATTTACAATTTTATATTACAACAAGGGCACTTACCTGCTTCATGTCCATTTGATTTGAAGTTAAAACAAAATCCTTTGTACCTCTTCTTAGGTGTCCGATGTCTTCTTCCTTATGGGGTTATTACTGATAGTCCACATATGGCTCTTGCGAAGCGTTTTTTCCTGAACACCTTTCTTAGATATTGACTGCTAGAAATCGAGTTCAGCAGACCGAGCGCTGAACTTATTTGTAGGTACACTAGCCCGCTGACTTGAAAAATTTGTTTTTACGGGCCCCTTTCACTAAGATTCTTGGCCCCACACTTTGGACCAGCGAAGAAGCACTCACAGAATCCTTCTGTGTTGTCGACGTCCATTAGTACTAAGAATATATTTTCTTCTCCGGAGTATAGCAGGCTTTATTTAAACACTCTTATGCTGTCCATTTTTCTTGAATCCCCTTGTTTTATACACTCAACCAGATGCCAATCTGATTTCTCTTGTAGAATGGTTATACTAGAACTTGTTGTTACCATTCTGTCATTCATAGAGAAAATAGTTACTGGAATGAATAGATGACTTGGACAGACATATTTACTGACAGATTTGGCAACGTCTCCGGACGCTAGGTAATCCTTAGAGTGAATTTAAAATATATAAATAGGACGCCCAGTCACGGAAATTTAAAAGTTTTGCGTATATTTGGGACGCTCAGTGAGTGTTACAGTGAAAGGAAGCTGAGAAGTCCGTGATGTAAAAAACGATTTTTTCTATGTTTCTGAACAAAACTTTATTGCTTCTCAACACCAACTGCTGTCATATTTTGAAAAATATTCAGCCTATAAAATGCACATACCTTCAGAATTTATAGTGGACGCTCAGATATTGTTTCTTGAAAGGACGCCCGAAAGATAGCGGGATGTATATATATATATATATATATATATATATAACTTGAGACGTGGTCATTGTCGTCTAGACCAGGTAGGTGAAAAATTAAAGCTTCCGCCTTTTGTTGGGTACTTCGACAAAATTTAAGCAAAGAGGACTCTTTATACTTGTTTTAATTCTCTCTAGCTTTCAATGGACTTTGCCATCATCATCAGTAGCTGCAAGTACAATGATAACAGTAGCAACAAAAGTGTAAAATGAATTTAAATTGACTCTACTTGCAGTAATACGTGAGGATGTTGCTAATTGTTGTTTACGTATGGGATGAGGGAAACGTCCAGTAACATTGTGAGAGCTGGATAGATAGTACAATGGTCAAAATTATACAAAATATGACAAGAACAAGTTAAAAACAGATTAAAATTATTTAAAAAACATTAGAGCATTACATCGTGAAGCCACTTGATGATTGCACAAAATGGTGGTCATGGAATAGTGAGCCAAGCAGCGGGACTTTGTCTTTCATTTTTGAAAAAATGCAGTTTATAGTGAGGACGGATTTGCAAGCAATTCGAAAGTTCAAAGGACTGCACAATCTGATCAGCTTAGGGGTCAGTTCCTTGATATGTTTACGCCCGTTCTTTGCTGTCAAAGTGGTGGAGTTAGTTCGTCCAGAGCTAGTCGATGGCATGGAGGAACTAGTGCTAGCAATGTTTGAGAGTTTTTCTTCCGTATTTCGATTGTAGATGCCCAATGCGTCTAGCTCGAACCTGTTCATCTGTTCCTTTCTTGCGATCTTCAGACGCCTTCTGTACCGTTCAAACTGATCCTTGAACGACAACAGTTTTTCCTTTAGGTCGCCTAGATATTTGCTCAACCCGTCGGCAATAGTAGGCAGTTCTAAATCAAGACCCAGTGATACTGGTAGGCATATGGCGTGCCTGAAGGACTTGAAGTCCATCAAAGTCTTGATCGTCTTCTTATAATCTTTATTATGGTATTCCAACACTATCTCAGCTTCCTCTACCCTTTTCTCTTTTACCAGATCAACCGCAATCTTCCCCAACACATCTCGCTTGACAGATTCATCATACTTCAATACAGTCATAAGCCTTATGACCTCTCTCTAGTCTAAACCAAGTCTATATTCTTCTATCGCCTCTTTATGTAGTCCAGCATTCATGTAGACGACAGCTGCCTCTTGAAACTTGCGTTTTCTTGAAAGGCTTTGCGCATAGAGTCTGATAATTTGAAAGTAGCTCCTATGGCACGGGTCAACGGTTTTGTATGCTTCCTTCTGCAGGTCGTTAAGAAATATGAAATTTTCAACAAGCCCTTCATCAAATCCGTCATATTATACATTTCATTATATAGATAACGAACCGCCTGTAGAATTCACGAGGTGTAGTTATTTCCATCGCAGCACGTATGTCATACAGCAAGATACTGTTCTCAGTAAGATGGAAGACTGTTGCATCCTCAGCAAATTCATCATAATTGAAGTGTGAAAAGTAACAAGAATAAAATTTGCTAGGAGTGCATTCTGGAATTTCAATCTTCAATTCACAGAAGTATAATCTATGATCAGTTATTTTCCCATACCTATAGTGCCACTCTTGTGTACATCCAATGCATTTGATGCAAAAATTACATCAATCATAGTAGCTGAATTCTTGGTGATTCTTGTAGGTTCACCAGTAACTTGAACGAGACTGAATAATGCCATGGATTGTAAGATTTTCTTACTGGGATTCGAAAACTTATCGGTGAGGTCAATATAACTTCATCATGGGTAATGCATATGGAGGGATGGTTATTCTCAAGACGAGGAAGTAAACTTAATGCAGGAGATGTCAAATAACACCTACCGCACTGATCTCATTATTTAGTTTTAGCGATAACCGCAGATCCAATGCCATCCGAAGAAATTTTGTTACAATCTATGACTTTAAATTTTATGTTGATATGGATATAAAAATATGCTCCACCTCCTCTTTCTTGTCTGTCAAAATCAGGTGTAAACCAAATCTCTGTTATTGCTGTATTATGGAGGTTCTGCTCTAATGCCTAAAAACATATCAAAGCTTGGAATAAGTGATCTTATATTTACACGTGCTACGTCTAGTGTGCTATTTTTCGCGACGCCTTCACTGTGAGCAATGGTTGGCCTTTTCATTGAATCTTCTGACTTGATTGCTATATTCATCAACATCCAAAAAATATATCATTTTCAAAACTTCCGCCACTGAGCGTGGGCAGTGAGGTATCAGGGATCAATATACTTTCGACAGTAACTTTAAATCATTATATGCATGTCTGTCGTACTTTATGGCAGATAATTCCAAACATCAAGCTAACTGATTTTTATATTTGGACAACCCTAAGTTTGAGGTAGATTTTTTATGAAACTGAACCGGTTTTCAGTTTGGTGAGATACGTCAATTCGAATGCGCTTAAAACAACATTGATAACAGGTCGATGTCACTATTAATTACATAAACAAATCCATTTTCTGTACACTCGGACATTTTGCTGCCATAATGGTTCCAGCACAAGCAGTTGATGTAATCGTCGTTCACGTCAAATATTGCCACTATCTTGTAGTCAAATGTTGCAGGTAGTTTGCTATGATCCAAAATGAGAAGTCTTTTCCCATTTAGTGTGCATGCATAGGTCATGCAGAATGAACTCTTAGTAGTATCACTGGTATTACAGTGGATTCCAGATCAAGCATGTCAGCCTATGCTCTGCCATTAGTAAATCGATTTGGATTAGTTCTCTTGAATAAACAAGTATCAGTCTCAAGTTAAAAGCAATCAGAAGGGTCGAATAACCTAACTTCCAGTCGGATGTATACACGGAGAAAGTATCTGGCGTGTTAGCTGGTGTAATCGCTAGGAAATATAATAATTTGTAATGAATTACTATGTAATAGTATTGCTTAAAGTATTTTATCCGAAGATAGCCCTAATGCTATATTCCCGCGTTAAAAAAATATCCGTGAGAAATTTGTCACAGGTGTCTTCCTATTTACTA